AACAAGGCCCACCCCACAGTCTCCCGAGGACAGGAAGTGTGTGGGGTGGAGTGAACACTGGCCACAGGGGCTCTGCCACCTGTCAGTTCTGAGACCTCCAACAAGTCACACCACGTCCCTGAGCCTTGGCTTTTCCACCTGTAACATGGACATAATAGCACCTACCTCTCAGGGTCTTTGCAGAGTTCAGTCCCTACCACAGAGTGAGCCTTGGGCTCTGTGGGTTAGAAACGGATTCCATTTGACACAGAAGCACAGTCTCCTCTCCCCTCTGAGAGCCCCCTTCAGAAGGACCTGCCCTCATCCCTGATGGGTGAATGAAGCCAGAGCCCAGGAGCCCTCCATGTGAGGTTCCTTGCAAACCCCCTGGCTGGGTCCAGCTGGGCTAGACTAGGCGAGGCTGGCCTCACTCCTCCTCTCCCTCTTCCAGAGGGTTCCACTCAGATTGGGGCGCTCTGGTGGCAGGGAGGTCCCAGGCTGCGTTCCATCCTGCCCTCTGGTGTATGCTGTGTCGCCCTGCACTCCAGAGCGCTGTGCTTTATCACGGACCCGGCTTAGCCAGTGATACGCCCATGTCACAGACGAGGAAGCCGAGGCTCGGAGGGATAAAGGCAGGAAACCAAAAGTAGCGGGGTTCCAGCTCCTCGGCAGTCCCTGGGCTGGGGAAACCAGGGCCTTGGACTCAGATCTCTCAGGCCACAGGGATCTGCTTGCTCAGCTCTCCATAGGGCACCCACCTTACCCTCCCCGGGCGGGGCCCATGACCCGGGCTGGCCTCCACAGGGGCTAAGAAGCCCAGCCCAGCGGGGGCTATTAATAATACCCAGAGGCTGTGTCAGCATTTCGGGCTAGCTGCAGCTGCCAGCAGTTCTGGGGACGCCACGGGGTCTCATTTAGCTTCAGCCCAGCAGTGGTTAAGACACAGGCTCTGGAGAGGGACAGCCCCAGGTTCAAACCACTTCCACTGAATGACCACAGGCAGGTCCTTCCATGTTGCCCAGACAGTTTTCCCCCTCAGAGGGCTGGTGAGGGAGTGATGTGAAGGCTCACTCAGCCCAGAGGAAGCACAGGGGAAGCTGTACTGGCTTCCCCTGTGACCCTGAGACTGCTGCTGTCCTCGGTAAGCTGGGGTGACCCTGGGCAAGTTCACTGACAGCTGAGAAGCAAGTGCTGTTCCTCAGTCCATAGACTTCCATGAGTGTGCACCTCACAGTCCACCATCAAGAGTCTTGGGAAGCATTCATTCATTCCTTCAACACTTTCATTGATCTCTTCCTGCAGTCCAGCCAGGGAGGCTGGACACGCGGCCCTGACACAATTAGTGGTCTGTCGAACGCCATAGTATCACCTGATTTTTTTCTTACTCTGTAAATGCTACTACTTTTTGAAGTACATGCAATAAATACAGACTATCTATGGGCCCCTTCACGCTTTCTGTATCTGGGCACTGCAACAGGGAGCTCAGCTCAGCCCACCAGACCCCACGGGGTGTGCCAATGCACTGTTCCACTTAATGGCTTTAACACACAGGGGTGTGTGGGTCAGGATGGCCGTCTTGGAATGGTGTTGAATACACATCACAGCATAGAAGCAGCTCGTCTGGAGTGTAGCATGAGGCAGCCCACCTCACTGCCACGTCCCAGAGGGCAGACACGGGGACATCCTGTGGCCATGTGGCCAAGTGGAACACTCGGGACACTGTCGCCTTTCCATTTATGGAGACACTGTACACCAACCAAGCATGATTTTAATAGTCAGAAAAGAATATATGTTAAGCAAACTATATCTGTGTGTGAAACAGCTGCATATCCAGCACAGGCATATTTGTCTATTGAGAAAGACAAATATACAAACAGACATTTAAAATAGGATCGTGTTGAACATTCTTTAAAAACTTAGCTCCCATTTCACCCACCTATGTAAGCCTGGCCACGTCCCCATGCCGACCCCTTTATTTTCCTAGGCTGCCTGATAAGCCTGCTGTCACACAGTGGACACCATCTATATAGGCCACTCCTCTATCGTTTGACATTTAGGTTGATCCCATTTTGTGACAACTGTACTCAGAACTGTCCCAGGACTGCCATCCTTATCCACATGTCCCTGTTCATTAAGCAGAATATAAAGGAAGGGTTAAAGTGGCAGATGCCAAGTGAAACAGTGACTTGGGGGCACCCCATGGAGTCTGCTGGGCTGACCTGAGCTCTCGGGTGTGGTGCTTAGAGGGACCATGGACAGTCCTGGGCAACCAGGTGAAGTCCAGCCTCCCCCTGCCCAGCTCAGAGGAGGAAGAGCAGACTCAGTGGCGACATCACCTGTGAGGCCAAGGCCAGAGCTGGGACTTGGGCCGGCTAGTGGCTCTGACTCGGCCTGAGACCTGTCGACACGGCCGTGCACCCCAGGCTCTGCACAGCCTTCTGTGCCAGCGCTGTGGACTGCTGAGGGTCAGGGTGGGGGCCATGTGGCTTGCCAGAGCCCACAGCTGCTACCAGGGTCCAGATCCAGCCCTCAGCCTAACTCTCTGGCTCTAACCACTTGTCGGCACTGCCTCTTCCCTGAGAGCAAGAGTTTCCAGGCAGCTTTGTGGGCCCTGGTGCAGTCTGGACATTGCAGCCTCCAAGTGTCTCAGATTCCTTTCCCACCATTAAGAACAAGCATATTCCTCAGTAACTTGCACTTCACACTTGCTGCAGGAGATTCGGAAGGCAGGTCCCTGCACTACCCGGTGGGACCTCATAGCAACTTCACAGACAGGTGCTTTGTCCCAGGGCACCAACAGAAAGACCAAAGCTCAGAGGCAAAGCGATTCTTTCCAGGCAAGCAGTGAGCCAGATTCAAACATCACCCTACCCCCATCCCCTGCTGTTTTTTCCTTTTATTTACTTATTTTTTGAAGTATGTGTCACTATTTAACAACCCACACACTCTGCTTATTTATTCTGTGGCTAGTGGTGTTCATGGTCTGTGTTCTCCTACTAACACAGCAACACCCAGGGGCAGGAACCACTGTCTCTTAGCTCACGGGTGACAACCAGGTGAACAGGCAGAGTTTGGCAATAGTAGGCACCCCATAAATATGGCAAGAATGACTGATTCCAGAGCCCGGCTCTAATCTACTGCAGCCCTGGCCATCAAAGACCACCGGCCAACACAGGGCTGTGGTTTGGGGTGATGATCCCAGAAGAGAAGGGGACGCCAGGGGCGGGGGGCTGGAGCAGGGGCCAGGAGTCCCGCGGAAGGCAGTTTTCATGGCCTCCTCCCCAGCCCTGGCGCCCCGCTGCGGATCGCGTTCTCAGTTCGCATTTCTGAGGCCGCTCCTGGGTTATTTTGGTCAGGAAACCTGATCCTTCGCAGGGTTTATTTTAGCACCTTGGAGAACTCCCAGTGCCGCACCCGATCCGATCCGGCAGCGCCGGTCTGCTGTCGCCCCCTCCGTCCTGCCCCGGCGGCGGGCATCGCGCTCCCGGTCTGTGCTCGAGCGGCCTCCAGGTCGCGGCGTCCCTGCAGCGCCCCGCGCGTGGGCTTCGCACCCGTCGGAGGCCTGGGAGCGCGCGGCGCAGGGGCGCGGGCTCCGAATGCCTGGCCTCGCCTGGCGCGGGACCGGAGACGCTGCGGTCCCAGGGGACCAGGAGGGGAGCACGTTACACGGCTGGAACTGGACTGCACCGTCAGGGGCTCCCAGAAGCCTCCAGTGTGGGGAAGTCGAGCCCCCGACGCAGAGAGACGAAGTCTGCCCCACTGGCTCAGCCCCACACTCACACCTGACACCCCATGCAGACACGCACCCTGGCACATGCACATGCTCTTATCCTCACGCCCACAACACAGGTGTGCTCGTCAACACCCACACCAGCGCTCATCCACTTGTCTACATGGACACAGTCTCCACAGACACACAAACACACATCCAGAACACACCCTATGTACTCTTACACAGTCTCACACGAGGCAAGTCGCACACGGTGCACACACACTGGCTCCTAGGCTCACTCACACGTTGCACACATCCACACCTTCACAGACATGCAGGCACACACACTCGGGCACTCCCACGGCACAGTCACACAGAGCTGTCACGTACATCCTTGCACACACAGATGTACAGACTGTCACACACATAGACACGCTCACCACATACTCTAACCTACACAGGAGCACTGGCTGTCTTGCCAGCTCATCCCCCACCCCTGGAACACCGCCCGCCCTCCACCAGCTCCACATGGAACACACCTGTCAAACAGCTCACTCACACGCTTCCTGATTTATGATGACCAATGCTTACGACCATTACAAATGTGGAGCTGTACCTATTATTTTTACCGCTTCATACTCCATTCATCGTTCCTGGAGTTACCCCTCAACATCCCACTGCCCTGCAGGGATATGAGTGCCATCGTCTTCTGGCCTTGACTGTGGTCTCTTATCTTCTGAGTGCCAGGCGCCCTGAGGTGACCAGTCAGTAGTGGAGAGTGAGCTAGAAGCCCCAAGCCCAACCTGCCCCTCTACACACTGTGGGTCTGAAGGTGGCTGAACCATCCCACGTCTCCAGATTTGCGACCAGTGCAAACAGCAGGTTCCATGCCCTTGCCCCATCCTCGGGGGTGGCGTGGTGTCATTACAGAGCTGGGGCCAGGAGACCTGGGTTCTAGTGGTGAGCCCTCCCTTGATGACCTTGCTGAGACTGGGTTGCCCATCTGCAGAGTAGGGTAGCCTGGCCAACTCCCCGTCTCTGAAATCCCGTACCTGTTCATCTAGCCAGGCCCAGCCTGCTCCCTGCAGAGGGGAGGACCACAGGGGATGCAGAATGGGCTCTGCACCTGGATCCCCTCCTGGCCCCTCCTCGGCCCCTTCGGACACCTGCCCAGCCCTCTGGCCCCACCCACCTGTCTCCCAGGTGAACATTCCAAGCCTCACCATTGGCTTTCTGGCTGGTTCCAAACAGTTGGGGAGAGTACCCTGTCTCCCAGGGCAACAGAATTCCTGCATTTAACAGTTCCCTCTGGTCTGCACAGCAAGGACTTTTTTCTCTCTTTCAAAATGTCTTTCTGGTCATATCATGACCTCACCTCTGGAGGCAGTGAGCCCTTGGAGGACCTACTGTGGCCCTGAATGCAGGTTGGTCTATGAGGGACAAGGAGCCCTGGGACTGTCTTTGGTGGCTGCTGAACATGAGGGCCCTACAGTTCCGGGGAACTGCTGGAAAGCACCCACTACACAGGAGCCATCTGGACTCTGGGTCCTAGAGCCAAGCTGCCTGGTTCATCCTGCCCTCCCTGTTGGCCAGCCCTCAATGTCCTCAGCTGTAGAATGGGATAATGACAGGGCCTGGCTCTTGGGGCCATTGTGGAGGGCCTGAAGGAGGATGCATGCAAAGCTCCAGTTCCTAGTGCTCTCTGCAGGGAGACGCTGCAGCCTCTCTCTGCAGACCGGAGGCCTCTGGGCATGCTCAGGGTTGCATGTGAAAACCCAGCTGGCTGGGGGCGGAGTTGCTTCTACCTCTGACTTCCTGTGTAGCTTTGGGTTTCTACAACCTCTCTGGGCCAATGTACTAGGATTGGAGGAACAGGGAAGGACAGCCACTTCCTCCTCCTCTGACCTCCGAAATTGCCATACTGAGGAGTTGACCTCACTGTCTCTCCAGGTGGAGGACAGGGGCTGTGCACCTTTCCCCTTCCCCAGGAATGTCTTGGCAAGGAGTCTGGGGAAGGCGAAGGGGAGGGGCAGGGAGGGGACAGGGAGGAGTGTAAAGTGCCCCTGAGGTATCTGCAGCCTCCAGCAGATGTCTCTTCCTGTGCTCTGCAGACCCTGGTTCTTCACTCTTGCATGACTGGGCCATGAGCCTTCTACATATGCTGAGTCTTCCCTGGGTCTGTGCCCAACACCTACAGCCCTGTGGGGAGGCAGGAGGACCTGAGGGCCTGAGAGGTGGCAGGATCCCCATCCTGATGGGCCGTTCAGGAGCTGGGGCAGGGAATACAGGAGCTGAGCCCTTGACTTCAGACTCTTGCCACCCATCTCGGAGCCTGGTCAACCCTAATCCTGCAGACCAAGACAGGGTCCTGCATAGGGGTGATATGAAAGGGAAGCAGGTAAGGAGAGAGGTCTTCTGCTCTGTGAATCTTCACCCTGTAGGTGCTCCCTAGTGGTCAGTGCCATCTTAGCAGGAGGGTCTGGGATCCAGACTGCAAGGGCAGCATGCCCCATGAAGTGAGTGTGGACTTTGGAGGTGGCCATGCGTGGGTTGGAATCCACACTTAAAAGTCCCTGGGTTTTCCCTGTCTGTAGAGCCCACCAGGATCCCACCCAGGAGCAAGGTGAAGGATGAAGGAGACAATACTGGCTCTTGCAGGGCCTGACACACAGTGGGTGCTTATTATTGCCATACCCAGGGCCCAATATCACTTCCAATGGGCCTCTAGGGGACCTCATCCCCAGGAAATCACTTCCAGGACCTTACTGTTTAACTATGCAATTGAGAGCAGTGGCCTCTGTCTTTCCACAAAGGGACATGACCAAAATGGGCGGAGCCGCCTTGAACTGTCGGCCAGGACAGCATCCCTGCCCTGGAGGAACAGCTGGGCCAGGGGAGTCTGCTGTTCCAGGCACTTGGGTGATGGGAGATGAGATGCATGTCCTAAAAGTTAATATCTTCCTTACATATGAACAGAATGCAATAATGATGATCATATGGGTAGAAGGTGTTGAAAGTGTGGGGAGTCTCAGAGGTGGGGAATGTTTCATGGGCGTCCCAAGTTCATGGTGGGGGAGGTCACTGTGGGTTAAGAGGCCAGGGAAGATTTCTTCCCAGAAATGAAAGTTCATGCCGGGGCTCTAGGGAACCTGTGTGTTGGCCGGGGTTCTGCCATGTGGTCAGACAGTCCATGAGGGCAACCCCGTGGCACTGGCTCAGCTACTTGCCAATTTTGGTCTGAGTCTAGGAATAAGGACTAGGAATAAGCCACCAACTCACTGAACTGGAGAAGAATGACCCCTTCACTAGACCAGGGACACAGGCCAATGGCAATGGCTAAGGTGAGGGTGTGGCTCAGGGAAAGCCAGCAGCCACTTTAACTAGTTACTTCCTGCTCTGTGACTCAGCTGGTGCTGCAGGGAGATAGATCAGTCTGTCTGGCCTCCTTCGAAAGTCCCCCAAATGACCAGAACCCTGACATGTTCTGGGTCTGGCAGGAACCACCTGTCCTGCACCCTGCTATGAATATCTGTGGAAGTCAGAGTCAAGGGGTGTAGTGGAGGTGGGTGTGTGGCTTTACTTAGCAGCAAGGTTTTCTGATGTCACAAATCATTTGGCCTTTCCCTGGGGGGCAGGGATTGAAAGATAGAGGAGGGGCTGCTGGCATGTGGTTGCTTGGAAAGATGCATTGCTTTCCCAGTGCTATTCAGGAACAGTCCTCTTTTGAACCCTGACTCAGATCCCTGGGGCCCATCTGAGTGGGGACAGTGAGGTCTTGGGCAGGTTCCTGATCTCTGCACTGCGTGATACTCCTATGTGAAGTACACATCTAACAGGCCTCCTTACCCAAGGTGGCTGGTGGTTGGTGGATTGATGAGTCTTGTGTAGTACTTCTCACCCAGCTGGGGCCCCACCTTTCAGGATGCTAGGGTCCAGCACTGGAGGGAAGAATGGGAAGCAACTTCTGTCCCCTCAATCCCAACCTTCTAGCCCTGGAGCCTCACAGAGCCCCGAAGTTTCCACGCAGCCACTAAACCCCCGCGTCCTGGAACTCCAAGGCCATTTAGCCCTTCTCCAATTGCCTTGAGCCTGGGAAAGTTTCTGGTCTGTAGAGGTCAAAGGGCACGGGGAGCAGCCCCCTGGACCCAAGACAGTCGCGGAACTACACTACCCAGAATTCCCGAGGATAGACAAAAAGGAAATGTCGTTTTTGCAAGGAGAGACTCAGCTCCCCCAGCAGCTGCAAAGCGGGAGAAGGGGGGAAGACAGGGAGAGAGGGATTACCAGGAGGAGGGCGCGCTGTGTGCGGGAGCGCGGGTGGAGAGCCGGGCGGGCGGGGGAGCGGGCGTTCCGC